CAAGCACATATGGTACGAGTGGCGGACAACGAGGAGGGTGGCGGCGGTTGGGTGCGGCGGCAACGAGTCTGATTTTGGTTCGTGGACTGTGGCGTGAAGGTGAGCGGCGCACGGATCTGCTTTGTGAGGTGAGCAGCAAGACAGGGTGGTGGCCTTGACGGTGAGAGGTGGGATGGCAGCTTGTGGATCTACTTCGTGGAAGATGATGGCTGTGAGGTGCATGAAGTTGCGTGAGACCAAAAGGTGGGAAGAAGGTGGGAACTCTTAAAACCCTAACTTCTCTAACTCAAGTCAAAGGTGAGAAGTAAATTTTAACATTTACCTAGTAATAATCTTATTTATCCTCTTATTTTGGAATTTTAGAGGGGTAAATTTCAAAATCTACCCCAACACATTTTTAATAATTTTTTCTTAAATCAATTTTCAAATTCTTATTATCAATTTTAAATTAGATTTAAGTTAACTATTTAAATTTCATTCATTTGATTAGATATAATTGATTCTCTAAAATGAAGGCCCGTTATTTTTGTTATTAGTTAAAAATCCTAAATCTCTAAAATTATGTGTATATACTTAATTGGTTACAAGACTATATTTGTCTACAAAATATTTTAGAATTTAACGGGAAAAATCAATTCCATTATTGCAATATTTCATAGGTTTGGACATTTTTTAAAACGCGTTATTAATTTTAGTCGTTCCTGCAATTGTTCCAAATTAAACCTATCTTTAATTTTCTTAATTAATGTATTGGCTCCCATCTTATGGATTTTGGTCCATGGACTCTTCCATGAAACCAACCAAATCATATCCCGTCAAATTAATAATAAATCTAATTCATTATTAAAAGTCAAATTTAACATTTTAATTCTAAACATTATTTAATTTTCTCCCAACTTATTGTTCATTGCAAAGGTCAACGAGCTCGTAAGGGACCAAAGGTCAACAAGCTCTCAGCTCCAATGGCTCAGAATTGATTAATTAAATTCATCAATTAACAATTTTACCGTTAACACAAGGTGACATCCACTAAACACCAAAGGCTGCACTCTCATTTACCGTAGATGAGTTATGTTCACAGATATAATCATAATCGCTTGTCTTATTCTTCACAAAGTGATTCATGATCCCAGCTAGATGAAATTACCAATTTTGCCCCTAGTCTCATCTTTTTGATCATTAAGTCTCACTAGTTCTCTAATGGATAGCCTTCTATGATCTCATCATGGGTTAGTCCTTAGGGTATCAAGAAAATGGGTACCCTATTATCCGAACCCCGAAACAACACTATAAGGGAATCACTTATATACTTGCTCAATAAAGAGAAGTTCACACTTTGCACCTTTCAATATTGAGTGGCTGTGAATTTCATCTTGTGTTGAAATGTTCTCAGCTCTCCAATTGAATATGTTTCCAAAACAGTAGACTTTATTGGCGAACACTTTGATTACCCTCACCCATGGGAATCAAAGAACACGCTCGCATAGGCAAGAGTTCATAACGCACTCAGATTTAAGATTAAATGAGCATATAATCATCCTAGTGATGTGTTTGCAATTTCTATAACGATCTTATAAGAAAATACAAGACACGTCGCTGTCTAGTCTTATACAAACTCATTGTATTCCCTTACTCATATGTCTCCACATGAACGATTAGGATTAAATCATTTCTAACTTTTACAAAGTGAGCCGTATCAACAGTGTTATCAAGATAAGGGTCCCAATCTTATCCGTATACTGTAGACTCTTTATGTTACTATTTTAACATAATCATCATATATGTCAATTGCATACTATTCAAGTTTATACTAGTAACCTTGGGTTTTTAATTAGATTAATAATACATATTGCACATGAAAAAATAATCAAATAATTTAATTATAAATTATGAGGCTTAAGGACATAAATCTCAACATTTGCTTAATTCGGTTCACCCTCCCTCCTCTTGACCGTCCTTATTTGCACTGGTTGTTAGCTTTTATGGTCTTGGAGAAATTAGTTTATCTTCCAGTTGTCTGTTAGTCGTCCTCCTAAGCCCCTCCTTTGTTGTTTGATACAGTACGACTGCAGTGGTGGATCCAGGATTCTATATTAGCAGAGACACAAATGCATATAAAGATTGGAAAAATATCAATTTTATAAACTTGGCAATATGTGTCGATTTTCATCTCACAATTGGATAATGTTGTAATTTTCACCTTAAACTTTAAAATATGTCACAAAATTTACCATTCGATAGATTTTCATTTGAAAATTTGTTGAAAAAATAATATCATGAGTCGAATGAATTAAAAAACAATTATGTTTTGGTATATAAATAATTGATATGATTTAGATAAAATCGACATTAGAGTTGTTCTAAGTTTAAAAGTTTTGGCTGAATTATTTGACATTATATTTTGTGCATTAATCAAGGTTAATTTGAGAAACTTGATTTTTGTTAAATTAGTAAGTTTTTGTAGATTTTTCAACTTAACGGATGAACTAACATCAATTTAATAGAGAGATAAAAATTATTACATTTATC